CCCCCCAACTCCACTTCTGAGGAGCTAGCGACTGCATCCTGGGAAATGACAAACAGGTAAGTGATTCACCGTTACGAGCTTTTGCAGAGGGGTAGAGAAATCGTTCACATGCACTGCCAGGGCATCCTCACCTGTAAAGGGGAGCAAAAGAGGATGAGGCAAAATTTATAGACGAGTCACCTCCCTGGACACCCAGTGCACCCCCCATCCCCCAGCCCAGTGCGCTGGCTGGTCCCTGTAGCAGTCAGCTGCCCTCAGTCTGCTCACAAGTTCAGCTGCCCAAGACCTTCTGGCCAGAGGCCATGTTATGGTCACACTGCGCACCCCCCGTCCTATGTTGAAGTCCTAACCCCAGTGGCACATGTGACCTTACTTGGAAACAGGGTCACTGACGACGTGATTAGTCAGCACGGGGTCCTACTGGAGTGGGGGGCTGACCCCTATGCCTGGTATCCTTACACGAAGGGGAATGTGAACACTGACTGACACCCAGGGAGAATGCCATGAGAGTACAAGGCAGAGGTCGGGGTGAAGCGTCCACGGGCCCAGGACCACCAAAGACCAATCGCCGGCCACCCCCAGAATCTGGGGAGGCTGCCCACACCTGACCTCGGACTTCCCACCTCCAGACGGAGAGACAGTAAATACAAGACCTGAGGTTCAAGCGCCCAGTGTGTGGGTGTTGTTGAGGCCACCCCAGAAACTCATGCCTACAGAGGGTTTGTTGGTAGTTCAGGTCCGGGCACTTGAGAGGCCATGAGAAGCCATGGCCTCCACTGGGGGGTGGGTTTCCATTGGTTCGCAGTCTGGTCTTAGGCAATAGGGGGGTAACTCATTGCCTGGAGGGACCCCAAGAGTGGTGGGAATGAGGAGACAGGCCAGGCGTAAGACAAACCAAGCAGCATCACTTTATTCGTATTCAAAAGACACCCTGTTGCAACATCAGTTCCTTAAGACTCGGCATTTCTTTCTCCGGTTCTGGGCACACAGATCATATTAAAGGTTGTTCGATCATGGCGTCCCAAGCTGTGTTCCTTAGACAACGACATTCTGTATTTTCCTGGGAGACACACAGGGATATTTTCTCTCCCATAAAGCAATACACTTGTTCCTCATTGTCTAGAGAACACACCGCTCCCTCCGTGTATGCCTGTTTTCCATACTTCGGGGGGAAAGCTTGACAAGGGCAAATTTTCCCCTATTATAAGGAAAGTGGCAGGTAGGCGGCAAATGAAA